ACACCTGCATTGTAAGGCAACAGGAGTCAACTCATTCTCAAAATGTAGTCTTCACTGTTCCTTGTTTTAGTTACTATCTGATTTTTTAAAATGAACAAGCAGTCCAAAAAAAAAGCTTTGGATTTGCTACTTTTCTTTGTAATAAGCATCCTGATTGAATAGTTTTGTGTTCAACTTACTTTTTAAATGAAGCAACTGTATTTGGAGATCCCCTGACTGATCTCTTATTTAGAAATACACTTTTAATCAGGCATTAAAATAGAATGCCCTCTCTAGAAAAGATAGTTTTAAATTACACTAGAATCCAAATTGTATGAATTACCTTTCAGCAGGTGAAATATATCTAAGTTTCAGTGTACTGGAAGGAGCAATGTCTGTCCTGTGTTCGGAATGCATGTCATTTGCTTGGAGGGGAGCACAAAAGGGTATATCCAAGGTTGTTTAAATTCACAATGATTTCTTCCCCCCCCTGTTTCTTTCATTTTAAATAAAGGACTTTGCAATTCCCTCCCAGTGAAACCCTTCGAACAGCAGGGACAGGCCCTGGTTGCTCTGAGTCCAGCAGAGGAACCGCAGGCTCCAGGGCAACCCTTGTGAGGCTGACAGTTTGCAAAAGCTTTTATCTGGACCCAACAGACCTGGCCCTTCCAGTGCAACAAAGGCTGAGTCCAGGGGCACCTTTAAGACCAGCAAAATGTTATTCTGGGTATCAGCTTCCAAGGGCATGCACACCCTCAGATACCTGAACACACACAATGCATGCCCACGAAAGCTTGAGACACAGAGTTAAACTTGGCTGGTCTTAAAGGTGCCACTGGAGGCAGACTTTGTTGTGTTGCTCCAGGCCAACACGGCTCCCCAGCCAACGTTCCCTCTAAGCTGAGTTAGTGTGAGATAGCTCATGGTTTTTGAGCCTCTGGCTCACACATTTTTGTCTTAGCTCAGGAGGGATGGCTCCAGAGCAAACCAATTGATGCAGTAGCCAAATCACCTGCTCACCACTTTAATGCCAATAACTCACAAAGTAGAATTTTTGCTCACAAGACTCCATAGCTTAGAGGGAACATGGCCCTTTCCACGTCACCCCCCGGCCCCGTGTCCACTGCGGGCCCCTGCCGCTTTGGCGCTTGCCCTGCTGCATGGCCTTCCCGGGAGAGGCTCGCCTACTCGAGCGCACAGCCATGGCCGCGTTTGCCTGGGACGAGGAAGGGACGGGCGGCTCTTGCGCCAGCAGATGGGCGAAACATTCCCGTCCAGGGCAGTGTTCCCTCTAAGCTGAGTGAGTGTGAGCCAGCCCACAGATTCTTAGCCTCCGGCTCACAGATTTTTGCCTTCGCTCAGGAAGGAGGGCTCCAGAGCAAATTGATTGATGCAGCAACCGGAGCGCTCCTAGAATTTCGGCTCACGAGACCCCACAGCTTAGCGGGAGGGAGCATTGGTCCCGGGTGAGGCATTTTCTCAGACGGGGTGGGCAGCGGGAGCGAAGCCTGCCCAGGGAAGGCCGGAGGGCTGGTGCCGCCGGCCAGCCGGAACGAGACGCCCCCCGGCCTTGCTCTCCGCAAGGCCCGCAAAGCTGGAGGCCTGGAGCCCCACCCCAGCTGCTGCTTGCGTTGCGTGCCTGCCGCCTTCTCCGAGGGGCGCTTGGGCTGGCCGTCGGGCCCTCCACCTAGGGCGGCGAGTCTTCCTTCTAGAGCGCCGCAGCCAGAAGCCGGGCGCGGCCCAAAAAGGCGCAGCCGCCGGCCCCTTCGGGCAAGGCCGCCCGCAAACCACCCCCTCCCGGAGCTGCAGTTCCGCCTCCCCCAGGGGAGCCTTCAGACGTGAGCCCCGAGATCCGTGTCGGAGGCTCCCAGCGCACGCCTAAACCCGCAGGGAGAGGCCTGCAGGCTCCAACCCAAGGCCCGCCCAGCGCCGCTGCCGGCCCTCCGCAGGCCCTGCTCGGAAGACTCTCGGGGTCGCCCGGATCTCGACGAGGCCCAGCAGGAGCCCGCTTCTAGGCCTGCCTCGTGCGAGGGCCGCGGGACTCGCTTTCTGGGCGGCTTCAGAGCCCGGCAGCGTCCAGAGAGGCAGGAGAGGTCGGGGGCTGCTTGGCGGCCCCCTCCGCCTCCGGGAGTCCCGCAAGGCCCCCCATAGGGAGAAGCCAACTCCTCTTCGCCTCCAACCAGCGGCTCTTCTGGTTTCCAGCGAGAAAAACGCGCTCTTCTTATCAACCCCTTCCTCTTACGCGGACGCCGGACCTGGGCTGGTTGGCGGCCACAAGTCAAGGCCCGGAGCCCGTTTCCGACAGGCAGCCGTGTCTTGATTCCTCCTTCAACCCGACAGGCTCTCCTGCAGTCTCATCTTCGTCACTCGTCTGTCCCTCTTGCTTGGGGGTCGTCGTCTCCCCCCCCCCATGTGTTTTGCTCCCTCTGGGACTATCAGAGAAAGGGAAACACCCTGAGGGGAGGAAACCCTGCAGCACAGCGGGGACACACCAGTGGTGAGAATCAGAATGCGGGACAGACCTAAGAGCGCTCTGGCGAACCTCGCCTGAGAGAGGCGTTCTTTCCCACGCAACGCACCGCGTTATTACGATGAGCCCATTCTCACGTGGCGGCCCTATAAAAGACACGCGTGGCGGCCGCCTAAGGCTCCCAAGAAGAGAAACGCGAAGGCGGTTTCCTCTCCGCCCTTCGGTGACCCAAAGAGTGATTCACACGTGGAATTCACTGCCACAGGAGGTGGTGGCGGCTACAAGCATGGACGGCTTCAAAAGGGAATTAGATAGGCATATGGAGCAGAGGTCCATCAGTGGCTATTAGCCACAAGGTACAGATAGGGACACCGGGGCAAGTGATGCTCTGTCTTCTTGGTGCTTGGGGGGGGCCCCACTGGTGGACCTCCTGATGGCACCTGGTATTTCTGGCCACTGTGTGACACAGAGTGTTGGACTGGATGGGCCTTTGGCCTGATCCAACATTGGCATCTCTGATGTTCTTATGATCCGGCCGGCTGAGTGCCCTGAGTGATGATGATGAGCCCACTCTCACGTGGCAGCCCTAGAAAAGCGCATGGCAGCGGCCTAAGGCTCCCGAAGGCGGCCGGTTTCCTCTCCGCCCTCTGGTGATCCGGGCTGGCCCACCTCGAGGCTCCGCGAAGGGCTGGGAGTTCCTGGCCTTTCTAGGAGCGCACTGAGTGATGCTGATGAGCCCTTTCTCACGCGTCAGTCCTAGAAAAGACACGCGTCGTCGTCGTTGTTGTTGTGGTGGCGGCCTAAGGACCCCAAGAAGAGAAATCCGCAGGCGCGTCTGGTGGTTTCCTCCACGCCCTCTGGTGCTCCAGGCCTCCCGGCCGGCCTCACGTCTCCTCCTCGAAGGCCTCGACGAAGGGCTGGGAGTTTAGCGGCCTTTCTAGAACTGGCGCGGGGAGCGAGTCCGGGGCTTCCGTCCCCCCTGCAGGCAGAGGAGCCCAGCGCCGGGTCAAGGGGCGCGAAAGGTTGGTTCTCGACGGGCGGGAGGCGGCCCGAGGCCTGTTGCGGCGGCGCCAGTGTTCCCTCTAAGCTGAGTCGGTGTGAGCCAGCTCACAGGTTTTTAGCCTCCAGCTCACATCACAGTTTTTTAGCCTCCAGCTCACAGATTTTTGCCTTCGCTCAGGAAGGAGGGCTCCAGAGCAAATTAATTTATGCAGGAGCCCAATCGCTCGCTCACCACTCACAAAGTAGAATTTTTGCTCACAAGACTCCACAGCTTAGAGGGAACATGGCTCCCCCATATCTTGGGGTGGGGAGGTGGCCCCCCCCCCCAGGTCCACGGAAAGCCGCCCACTCGTGAGGGGGGATTCGTGGCTCAAACCCTCCTCAGTGGGGGGGAAGGGGGCACGGCGGCCTGGCACTGGCGGGAAACGGCC